CCATTATATGACCCTGGAACCTACCAAGATTCCTTCTCCCTTACCGACATGACCTCGCACAATCGACCTGCCAAATTCCTCGAAATCCTTATGTTAACCATTTCATGAACGCTCTGAATCACTATCCATATTTACATATTCGACCTCTTACCGGATAGCCAGAAAAATTCTTCGTAGAAGTATCATCAGCACCACGCAATAGTTAACCTGCTCATCGGAAATAACCCACCTGTGGAAATTCCATGCCAACATCTTCCAACAAAGCTGCACCGAGTACCATTACTATGAAATCCTTAAACCATCCTGAGCCCATACTCATTCACCAGATGTACAAGCCCATTCACTCCCCATTGACATCAACTAAACGTGTGACAATACATTCCAATCCAAAGTCATGTTGTATCCTTCTTCATATCAAGCAACTCCTTTCTGTCGTATCCAACCTTCCTCCGTATAGTAGCCAATATTCCAAATTAAGCTCGTAGACCTAGTCACTATCCACCATGAATCCCAAATCACTCTAAACTTTCCTCAAGGCGTGTAGTTATCCTACCGCATAACCCATATGCTACTCTGCCACTCTTCCACTTTGGTCAAACCCTCTCCTCTAAGCAACTACCCGACTTCTATTTCTCACACATAGCCTTCTAAACATTTAACCACCGCAAGACACCTCCCACATGTTCTTCCTTATCCTTCGCTGCCTAGTTGTTGTGTTAAATCAAAATCTACCTTTGTAGCACTTGAACCAATCGATCACTACAGACTTTAAAGCTTTCCGAAGATCATCTTCCTTGAGACACTAACACCCAGACCACCGATTAAGTCTTGAATCACCGCACACTGCGATCTCTGACAGCCGCTTACCCGGCATTATTTCACACTACCCTACCCCGAAGGCAAATTGATGAAGACCATAACATCGGCGAACTTTACACATTCAATCCAGGGTGACGAGACCACATCATAGATGAAAATTCCACCATGCTCGAAATACGAAGTCTCGTTACTCCGTCAACCCAAACCTGAATATTCATAGTCCGATTGCTTTTCCTTCACCGGAAATAGAATATTGGATCTCTGAATCATGCACTGAGTAAACCTCCTTCCAAGTCATTCACTACTTCGATGCATACACAAGCATCTTACCATTACACAAACACAGTGCGATAGCAACGCACGAATCATCATAACAATCAATGTCAAACCTCAAAACCTTAGGTAATACTAATACTGAGCTGCAACGACAGAACGGCCTTCCGCAAGGCGACAACAATACCCCAATCAAATATGCAAGGAGAAACATCCTGCACCACATCTGTAGTACCATTAAAATTCCTCGATTCCCAATTTATAACAAGCGCTTCACGTCACATAAGACTGAACAGGAAAGGAATGAAGGCATAAGCCTCAAATGAATCGAGTCCCACGATGAGGAATCAAGAAGGGAAGTGCTCTTAACAGTCCTGTAGCCTTTCGAAGATAAATACAAACGTCTATGTACCGATCCGCAAGACTCTACTAGACTCGCTCATGACTCGTGAGACCTAAGTGAACCTAGTACTCTGATACCATGTTCTGATGACCCAAAATCCGTTAAAGGTCTTGATGGCGCCGGATACCGCTGTCACGCAAGCCAAAAATAAATACTTAATTTGGTTCTCATTTTAATATTTTTGAAATCATATTCCCTTCAATTAAATAGTAAAAGATGGAATTTACAAAGTAAATAATAATATTTTTTAACAATTTTAATACAGGACAACCCATAATTACCCCAAAACCTCACAAGTGCATGAGCCTCAACTAGGAATGTAAAATAAAATACAACATCTGTCCGAAATACAAATTTGGACAGGAGAAATATAAATACTCTGAAGGAGACTCTGTTGGTTACGGATCATACTATAGAATGCAGCTCACCTAAGTCCCCGCCATAACCGCGCCTCTGCACCCACAAGGCCACTAAACATATATGTACCTGCACAAAAATGTGCATCAAGTATAGTATGAGTATGTAAATCAACGTGTACCCAGTACGTATCCCGCCTAACCTCGAAGAAGTAGCGACGAGGGGTCGACTTCGAAACTTACTATAGGATATAAATAAAATATCAATGATATAATTAAGCATGGATGACGTAGAACGGCTGTAAGCTCAATATCATGAAATAAGTAAACAATTCTTTTGTTAATAAGAAATTTTCAAATTTATTTTTGTCATTTAACATTTTTGGACCTCGGGCCAATGAAAGCAATATCAATTGTTATCAATTCAGAAGATATATCATGTGCAAATCATGCCGAGGTGGTACAGCCCGCTCCAACATAAATATTTAAACGGTGCACTGCCGAGGGTCGAACGGCATGAACCATAGATGCATCTATTTAACCTGCCAAGGCGTTCGGCCCGCTCCTCAAAAGAGAAAATTCAATTTAAAACAACCAAATTCAAGATTTATTAAGGGAAACTATTCAAGAAACATACAAATTTTCATTTACGGTCAAGAAGAATGAAGTTTAACCTTTTAAAGTTCCTTTACCAAGTTTCAATATGATTTAAGCAATTTAAATTAACAAGTAGGATGTAAGTATCACAATTATAACATGATCTGGGTCCTAGACTACCCGAACATAAGCATATTAGTAGCTACGCATGGACTCTCGTCACCTCATACGTACGTAGCCCTCACGAATACAAGCGCATATTGAATTATTTCACCTATGGGGTTAATTCCCTCTTACAATGTTAGAAAGGAGACTAACCTCGCTCCGAAGTCCCATAACCGACTCCAAAGCCTTTCAATAACTCAAACCGATGCCTATCGCTCCAAAACTAGTCAATAAATGTGCAAATCCATAAATGTACACTGTAATACTCATTATAATTCAATTCACAATAATTTTCAACTCCGCTCGAAAAGTCGATAAAAATCACCCTCGGGCCCACGTGCCCGAATTTTGAAAATATTCGAAGATAACTATTAATGACCTCACAAACTCAAATATATAATTTATTTCCAATTCCATGTCCAAATTCATGTTCAAAATCCAAAAATACTCATTTCTAGGTTTTCTACCAAAATCTCAAATTTTTACAAATTTTCATGCCTAAATCCATGTATAAACTATATATTTAACTCACAATATGTGGGAATTACTTACCTCGTGTTTGTTGGTGAAAATCCCCCTTTGAAGCTCTCCAAAAATCGCCCAAACCAAGAGAAAGTGAAAGAAAATGGGCCAAATCCCGTTCTTAAAGAACCCTTCTGCCCGGCGACTTCTCGCACCTGCGGTCACTTGGCCGCTTCTGCGGTTCCGCAGGTTCGGAAAACATTCCGCTTCTGCGGAGATGCCCCTAGCTTCCCGCTTCCGCTTTTGTGCCTTTCCTTCCGTATCTGTGTCTTCGCAGGTGCAGATATTCCCTCCACCTGCGCTCCTGCCCAGCATCGCTCTTGCGACCCTCATGGCCGCTTCTGCGGCTCTGCACCTGCGGCCCTAACCTCACAGGTGCGGTTACACCAGGAGACAGCAGCCTCAGCATTTCTTCCAAGTCCGCACTCGATTCGTTAACTATCCGAAATCCACCTGAGGACCTCGGGACCTCAACCAAATATACCAACATGTCCCAAAATACATTACAAACTTAGTTGATCCTTTAAATCACATGAACCAATGCTAAAAACACGAATCGCCCTCCAATTCAAACTTAATGAACTTTGAAACTTCAAACTTCTACAATCGATGCCGAAACCTAACAAATCACGTTCGATTAACCTCAAATTTTGCACACAAGTCATGATCGACATTATAGACCTATTCCAACTTTCGGAATTGAAGTCTGACCCCGGTATCCAAAAATATCCACTCCCGGTCAAACTTCTCAAAACCTTCGAATTTCTAACTTTCGCCAAATGATCCCAAAATGATCTACGGACCTCCAAATCCACTTTCGGGCATGCTCCTAAGACCGGAATAATCATACAGAGCTATTTGTAGACTCGAAATCCCAATCGGACATCGATAACATTGAAATTCACTTCAACCCAAATTTATGAAATCCCTCCAAAATGCCAACTTTTCACAATAGGTGCCGAAGTGCCCCCGGGTCATCCAACACTCGATCTGAATATACGCCCAAGTCCAAAATCGCCATAGGAACCTGTTGGAACCTTCAAGTCCCGATTCTGAGGCCGTTTACTCAAAAATCACACCTTAGTCAATTCCTCCAACTTAAAGCTTCCGAAATTAAAAATTTCTTCCCAAATTAACTCCAATCTTTCCCGAAACTCAATTCTGACCACACGTACAAGTCATAATATCTGAAGTGAAGCTGCTCATGGCCTCAAACCTCCGAACGATGTGCTAGAGCTCAAAACGACCATTCGGGTCGTTACAAAATATTAGTAATGCTCAATATTGAACATTTGAAATAGGCATAAAGTAGAGCTATGGTCTATGGAAACAGGAGAAACAAAATAGTCAATAATAGATTACTTTAGTGCTGTTTGGCACAGGTATTTGATCAGATTATATAATCCACAATTACTTCTAAACTTGAAGTCATTTCTTGAGGATCAAAATCCTATTGGCAGAGGATTTAAATACACTCAATGGAATCCTATAAATTTATCACCTTGCAAATGGCCTGGTATTGTTGTTGCAAATATTTCTAATAACATTTGAGAACCATCAAGAAACAACTTTGATGAATAACTTAAGTAGATGAATAACAGTAAGATGCCTCATCATACGCAAGCATGAACACAGAAAGAGTTAAATACACGGGCTTCTCTTCTAACTGTAACTGTTAGTTTAGTGCTTCCATTTATATCAAATCTGATCCTCAATCAACTGAATCTCCTTGAGAGAGAGAGAGAGATCACAAAGTTTAAGTTTCTACAACATTCATTATTCAGATTAACCACTCATATACAATAGTCATAGTGTTAGTATGTTACTGCCATAGTGTTGTATTTGGAACAATGTGAACTTCATTAATGAGCTACAACTTTGTCTTCATATTATAGTTTCTAGTGATCTAACACAACACATGAAGCTTTTAACAAGTAAAAATTTACACGTATTTCTCTTGCCGCTTCATTAACATATGAGACATCTTCCTTCTTATGAGTAGCAAGATAGAGTTGCGCTCGTCCAGGCTTTTGTCCAGATTCGAACATCTATAAATGAAAAATCATAACTTTAACTAAATAGGAATAGTTTGCAAGTTTAATTAAAGTTAAACATATTGAATTAACATTTATCACCATTTCAGCTCTTCTTCTGGAGTTTGGTTTGGAGCCACCAGTGTGTGCAACATTTTGTTTCTTCCAAATTTCAGCATTTTTTACTTATTTCCTTATAAAAATATACATAAAACTCAAATATACAAATAAAAAAGTATATAATTACACATACCAATTGAAGCATTCAAATAAATACCATTGTCTTTTCATTAAAACGGAAAGCAACATAAGAAGTCCATTGATCCCGTGGAATCCCTACTAGAACATTATCCATAATCTCTGCTTTGGTCTTAAGTGGGTCAGAGAACTCATACCACAACCTTTGCCTAGCTGCGCTCCACTTCTTTCCAATAGAACTATAAAAATATTCTCATGCATTTAACTTAGTTGTCCTAAAACAAAATCGCGGCTACAGGAATAAAACTTCTATTAGCTAATCTATTACATGCAAATATATAGTCTAAAGACATAAAACAGAGATACAACAATAAGAAAATAGAGCTTATACCTTTATAATTCAATCAAAGCAACCATTGAAGTATGACTTGGGTAAATCTGGCCATTTGTCGAAGTGAATTGGAAATAAGGAGTAGTCGTTTGCTAAAATTTCATAAAAGCCTGCAAGAACACCTTGCCATTCTCCAATTGGTTGATCCATATCATCAAATTCAACCACAATACAATTTCCACCAGATAAATACATCACATCCTTAACCTTTACTTTGAGTTTCTTGCTAGTTCCTTGTGAATCTTAAGAAAATAAACACCAAGTTAAAAGATCCAACTAAATTTTATAAAAATAAACACCAAGTTAAAATACATTCAATAATGCATGCAACATTCTGGTCCTATTTCAGAGGAGTTTGGGAAACTATCTTCTCTAGTTTCTTTTGTTGCATACAACAATAACCTCATTGGTCCACTCCCTCGATCACTCGGGAAGCTAAATAAATTGAATACAGATTCTCATAGAGCGGTAGTTGTTGTGAGAAAAGTGGTTGTTATAAAGATGCACTTATTTGAGCACCATCTGTATTCATATACGGTAAAATATCATTAAAGGGTTTCTGCTCTCTTAAAAGCCAATCCATCTCGTGTGATTTTCGATTTTATTCATGTACTCCAGTACAATAGAAGTATAGAATGCAACAAGATAGATATCATTAGACCAAAACGTTTGTAGTAAGTTTATTAAATCGCATAGAAATTTTATTTCTATACTCAAGCTGATGATATGCTTTACGTTTTATAAAAATGCTTAAAGCTTAAAATCTGAAAAATAATTAATGAAAGTTCATCCTATCAGAATTAAGAAGATGACTACCTAATACTATTATAATTACTGGAGTTTTGAAGTAGAGGAAAAAAACATTCTTCTTCTTCTTCTTCTATAATAAAAAAGGAGCAGAGAGAACCTAAATCAAATCACGTGAAAAAATTATTGAAATTCGAGCAGAGAAAATCTAAATCAAATCACGTGTAGAAACTAATGAAATTCAGATATTAGGAAAACATAATCAAAACTCTAGAGGAATTAAAATCGGATATCAACAGATTAAGAAAGAGAGGATAGAGAGCTACAATTCGAGCCGTACCTTTTGCGAGGAGATTCAACGACAAGCACACTTCAATAGTAATTGCTGAAATTCACATTACACAAAATTGAAATCGCACAAATATCAAACTTAGAGGAATTAAAATCGGATATCAACTATTTTTGCAATGCCAATCCCGCAAAATCGCACAGATAAATTACTTAAAACAATGATAATTCCAATAAAGACAATGGGAGATTAAAGAGAGAAAGAGAACTTGCCATTTCAGGAGAGAGAAATAATTTCTCTGAATCCTAAATCATTAGAATAAAGGAGAGTTGCGAGAAAGATGATATAGCGAGGAGATTCAACGCTTTTTTTTCTAAGCTGAAAAGAAAAGATTGGAAAAAAGAGGGAAAGATAAAAATAAAGGAAGGAAATATTCTATTGTCAGCGCCTTTTTTTAAGGCTAGCGGAGATTTCTAAATGCTACAAATGGAATTTCAGTGCGGAGGTTAATAAGACCCCTCTAAATTAGATACAATTTGGGGAGGTTAATAATAACCCCCATAATAAACCTTCGCAAATAGACTGTTTTTTTTAGTGATAACTGAAATAATAACTGATAACTGAACTGAACAAAGGAAGTAAGGATATGAATACTCTCTCTTCTAAATGATGAACCACCTATTTATCTGAATAAATAAATTACGGCCTCGGGCCCGATATATATATGCATAAGCTATGGCCTCGGACCCATGTATACGTATATATAACTATGGCCTCAGACCCAAAGATGCATAAAGCATAAACTACGGCCTCAGGCCCAAATATGCATAGAGCATAAACTACGGCCTCAGGCTCAAATATGTATAAAGCATAAACTTTGGCATCATGTCCAAATACAGGGGTTCAACAATCAGGGATTTAAAATCAAGAAATGAGAATCATATTGCAACACACGATACTGAAATACTAAACCATACTGAGTTACATGATATTGGAATGTTGAATAGAACTAGAATGAGACATGAATTCATGAATTGATTATGAAAACTGAAACTTCAACTGTGTATAATATATTGAGTAGTCTAGACTGAGAATTTGGGCATCAAACACAAATCTATATATTAATTACGCACTGAGCTCACAACATTCGGAATAAAATTAAGCTCACAACATTCGGAATGAAAGTCATGAACGAATTATGAAGCTTGAGAATAGAAGTTCTGCAACCATTCAAGGAACGAAGTTTAACTATATTTTTGAGGCAATTAGTAACGTTGTAATAGAAACGTAGTGTAGGGAGAATCATTAGCATTCCCAAAAATAGAGAGTTAGCCTCACATACCTTGACTCTAGTCTTTTTAGGTGTATCACAATGTTCGTCACCTATTTCAACGATAATCTATGGCAATATATATATATCAAGAGAAACCGATATTAGCACCAATGCTCATGTTTTAGTCACTTAGATATTTCATCAAACACTTGGTGGGCATAAAGCTTCATAACCCTTATTAATGGTGTTTATACATCCAACAATCCATTCTCTTGCTCATAGATAAATTCTAAAATCTCAATTTGCTATAATCAATATCATTCTTCATCACCCATAAGATAAACAACATCCTTAATAAATAATCAACAATCAACAACTCAAACATATAATCGTTCATGTTTTTTCATCAAACCCATCAACTCATATCTCATGAACTTAGTCTATAATTATTAATCAAATGCTATAATCAATTAGAGGGTGAAGATATTATCTTTTTGAAGTTCAATCCTCTTGAATTCGAGTTCCAAGGGCTCCTTTTCTCAACAATGAAGTCTCAATCGAATATCTAATGAATTGAAGGATATACCCATATTAATAAGGTGTTAAACAATTGAAATCAACTTAGAATCATCATTAGAACTTACCGTGCATGATGGAGGGACCTTGGAGGAAGTTATATTCTTGAGAACTTCCCTTTTTGGAGCAACTTTTCATGTTTTGGGGTATGGAGACGAGGTAGGGCTTTTACAATGACTTTTCGGGTGTGCTTCCACGCAGATGAAGGCCCAACCGTGCACTTGGATGCACTCAAAGGCAATGGCGCTGTAGCACATGGGACCAGCTGGACGCGCATCTGGGCGTGCATACTATGTACTATTTAGTAAAATGCACATAACGTTTTTGTGATGACCCAAAAGGTCATTTTATATTTTAGAACTCGAATCTGTACTCTTAAGCCTTAAAAATATTATTTTTATTCTCGATTTGCGTGCGCAGTCCGGGCAGGCTTCCGAAAAGCTTTTATGTTGAAAGTTAATAAAAATAAAAAATTTTGCCTTAAAAGTTGATTTTAGTTGACTTCGGTCAATATTTTTGGTAAACGGGTCCGGATTCATGCTTTGATAGTCCTAGTAGGTCCATATCGAATTATGGAACCTGGGCGTATGCCCGGAATCGAATTTGGAGGTCCCTAGCTTGAGTTATGAATTTTTGATGAAAATTAAAAGTTTGGAAATTATTTGTTTTTAAGAATTGATTGATATTTGGCATTGTTAGTATTGAGTCCGTATTTTAGTTCAGGAGCCCGGTACAGGTTTATTATGATATTTAAGACCTGTCTGTGAAATTTGGTGAAAAACAGAGTTGATTGATGTGATTCGGACGTCCAATTGAGAAAATAGAAATTTTAAAGTGTACTTGAGAATTTCATTTGATTTGGTACTAAATTCGTAGTTCTAAGTGTTATTTTGGCGATTTGAGCACGCGAGCTAGTTCGTATGATATTTTTAGACTTGTGTGCATGTTTGGTTTGGAGACCCGAGGGCTCGGGTGAGTTTCGGATAGGCTACGGAGTGAGATTTGGCTTGGAAAACACTGCTGAGCATCTGATACTATTGCAGGCCTCTAATCTCGCATTTGCGAGATCAGGCATCGCAATTAGGACTTCTGAGAGGTTCGCATTTTCGAGCTTCTCATCGCAAATGCGAAAAGAAGCTGAGCCAATAGTTTTCGTATTTGCGAGTTTTCTTTCGCATTTGCGAAGGGAGTCGGGGAAGGGCAGTGATTGCAAATGCTATCATTTAGTCGCATTTGCAAAGATTCAAGGTCGCATTTGTGAACTTATCTTCGCATTTGCGAAGGCAGCAGAAGTGTGAAGGGCTTCGCATTTGTGATGACTCCTTCGCAATTGCGAGCTTCGCATTTGCGAAGCTCGGGTCGCAAATGCGACATCTGCAGCTGATCAAAATGACTTTTGGACGGGAATTTTCATTCATTTCCCAAATTTTCAAGACCTAAAACACAAGAGGCGATTTTCCAAAGATCATTTCTTCCCCAAATCATAGGTAAGTGATTCTAAACTAGTTTTTTTCAATCTTTCACTATATTTTACAAGATTTCAACCTAAAATCTAAGGTTTTCATGGTAGAATTAGGGGTTTTGGATAGAAACTAGGAATTTTGGAAATTTAGGGGTTTAGACCTCAATTTGAGGTCGGATTTCAAAACCAATTATATATTCGGGCTCGAGAGTGAATAGGTAAATGTATTTTGGTCTGAACCTCGGGTTTTGACCAAGCGGGCTCGGGGTCGGTTTTTGACTTTTGTTGGGAAAACTTAGGAAAACTATAATTATGCATTAAAGTTGATTCCTTTAGCGATAATTAATGATATTAAACTAATTATGATTAGATACGAGTGGGTTGGAGGTGAATTCTAAAGGGAAAGCGGTACTTGAGTAGTGAGTGGCTTGCGAAAGCGAGGTAAGTGTCGTGTCTAACTTTGGCTTGAGGGAATAGGTATTATGTGTTCATTTGCTACGTGTTTGGTTGTTAAATACGATGTATAGGTGAGGTGACGAGCATCTATGCGTTGTTGTTGAGTCATAGCATGCGAGTGCAATTCTATTCTTGTCTATTTTGTAGCCTTAAATTCTACTATCCATGCTTAGCGAGTTATTTGAAATGTTGGGTGACTCATATCTGGTTTCACTGAGATTTGGTAACTTTTGAATATTGATTCAAGGTTGAGATTACATTGTGCTATTGATTATGGGTAAAATACTGGTTTCTTTGTGAAACTCTTATCTATCCGTTGTTATTGATTCTGTGATTGGTGAGGAGGAGTGTAAAGCACGAAGGGTGATGCCGTGCATGAATTATTTATATTGTGAGGAAGAGTGTAAAGCACGAAGGGTGATTCCGCTTATATTATGAGAGGTTTAAAGCACGAAGGGTGATGTCGTGTATATTATGAGTGGTTTAATGCACGAAGGGTCATGTCGTGCCGTTCTATTTATTTATTTGGTGAGGTTGAGAGTAAATGCACATAGGGTGATGTCGTGCCGTTCTATTTATTTATTTGGTGAGGTTGAGAGTAAAAGCACGAAGGGTGATGCCGTGTAGTTTTCCTTGTTGTTTTAATTGCTCAATTTATTTAAGGATTTTCGGTTTAATTCTGTCTTTTCATTATTCTCACTCTTTGTGTTGTATTCCCCCACTGTATGTTCCCTTCCCATTATTTCTGCATTATTTCTTTATTTACTGTTGTTGTCACTAGCATGATTATACTGTTCAGGTTATATGTGGGTATTTTGTCCTAGCCTCGTCACTACTTCACCGAGGTTAGGCTCGACACTTACCAGTACATTGGATCGGTTGTACTGATGCTGCACTCTGCACTTTCTGTGCAGACTTTGATACCGGCTCATGTTGATTGAGATTTTGCTATTGGTCCGTTGTCCGGAGACTCAAGGTAGATCTGTCGGTGTTCACAGACCTTGAAGTCCTTGTATACCTTTTATGTCACTGCTGTTTTCTTTCATTCAGACAGTTATATTTCTTTCAGACTATTACTTGTAGTAAATTCTAGAATGCTCGTGAATTGTGACTCCAGATCCGGGTGGTAGTAATTAATACAGTTTTATAATGTTCTGTACTTATTATATTTCATCTTAGTTAATTATTGTTATTTACTGAATGGAAATAAAGAATTGGTTTAACAATTTTCTAACGTTGGCTTGCCTAGCAAGTGAAATGTTAGGCGACATCATGGTCCCGTCGGTGGAAAATTTCGGGTCGTGACAGTTTTGCACAAAGATCTATTAGGGATTCAAAATAACTCATTAGAAAGGTATTTCAAAGAGCTACAATATTTATGTTTTGAGATTTTTCAAATACCTAACAGAATTTTATGAGATCATACTGGAAGACAGACCTTCCATAAACTTAGTCGATTTTTTATCGAATCTTATGCACCTCTCTCCGTCTTGATTCCAAAACAACTATTTTCACTCATACTCATCCCGATAGGACTTCACATGTCTAAAATGTCATACTAATATTCATTTAATACGTCCACACCTAGTCTAAATTTA